GATGGATGATGATGATGATGACGATGATGATGATGGCGATGCTGATGATGATGATGCTGAAGGATGATGATGATGATGATGACGATGATGATGATGCTGATGATGATGATGATGATCATGATGATCATGATGACGATGATGATGATGATGGATGATGATGATGATGATGATGATGATGATGATGGTGCTGATGATTATGATGATGATGATGATGCTGATATTGATGACGATGATGATGCCGATGATGATGATGATGATGATGATGATGACGGATGATGATGATGATGATGATGACGACGATGATGATGATGGCGATGCTGATGATGATGATGCTGAAGGATGATGATGATGATGATGATGACGATGATGATGATGCTGATGATGATGCTGATGATGAGGATGATGATGAGGATGATGACGGCGATGATGATGATGATGATGGATGATGATGATGATGATGATGATGAATGGTGGTGATGATGATGATGATGATGATGATTATAATGATGATGATGATGGTGATAAGGATGATGATGATGATAAGGATGATGAATGATGACATGATGATGATGACGATGATGATGATCATGATGACGCCGATGATGATGATGATGATGATGATGATGATGATCATGCTCTAACCTTAACCTCTAACCCTAACCTCTAACCCTAACCTCTTTCCCTAACCTCTAACCCTAACCTCTAACCCTAACCTCTAACCCTAACCTCTAACCCTCACCTCTTACCCTAACCTCTGGTGGATGATGATGATGATAATGATGACGATGATGATGATGATGCCGATGATGATGATGATGACGATGATGATGATGCTGATGATGATGCTGAGGATGATGACGATGACGATGATGATGGTGATGATCACGATGATGCTGGTGAGAATGATGATGATGATGGTGATGATGACGATGTTGATGATGATGATGATATTGATGATGACGATGATGATGATCATAATGATGATGATGAATGATGAGGACGATGATGATGATGATGATGATGATGCTGATCATGATGATGATGATGATGATGGTGATGGATGATGATGATGATGATGATGATGATGATGATGATGATGATGGTCATGATGATGATGGGGATGATGCCGATGATGATGATGATGATGGATGATGATGATGGATGATGATGATGGATGATGATGATGGATGAGGATGATGATGATGGTGATGATGATGATGATGATGATGCTGATGCCGATGAATGATGATGCTGATGGGGATGATGCATGGCGAGGATGATGCTGATGAGGATGATGATGACACTGATGATGATGATGATGATGATGATGATGATGATGATGATGCTTTCGTTGCCTATCTTATCTGGACACTTGTTTTAATGTTGGGTGATCTTCATTCGGGTACTCTTTTCTTTGATCCAAGATTTCGAGGAGATCCAGTCCATCTTCTATTACACCTTAGAGTTACTTCTGTCTTCTTCTTTCTTCTCTTTTTGCGAATCTGGCCAATTAATAATAATAATAATCATCATCATAATGTTTACCTCGTACCTCGAATTCTTAAAACAACATTTAACACAACATCAACAATAAAAGCACATTGGGGGTCGGCGGCATCAGGCGTCAGCCTGCTTAATCCGGCCACCGGACGTGATCGGGCCGCAGGCCAAAGCCCGTTAGGGCTTACCTTCAGGTATAAGGCCGCGCGCCCCATGCCGCCGACCATGCGCGGACCATGCTCCGACCATGCGGGTACGTTTTGGGCTGGGCCCTCCCTTATAAGGGGCGAAGGATTTGCGGATTGGTTTAGGCGATTTTCGAGGATTTTTGTAGCACCTCCCCGCAGCGCCCAAAAACGAGCATTTTTAGGGGGTGCCTAGTACTGGACAACACCCCCAGCATTGCCAGCACCATCCCGGATGATGCGGATGATGTTATGCATGCTGGCGATGCGGGTGATGCTGGGGATCTTAAAATATGAAATTCCGAAATTCTCAAACTCTTAAAATCTCAGAATCTTAAAAGCTTCAAAAACTTAAATTCTTTAAATCTCGAACTATTGCAATCTGAAAATCTTAAATCCATGAACAAATAAAATATAATAAAATTCCTTCAATCCGGGCTATATTCTAAATTCCTTAAACTCTTAATCTTGAAATTTTGAAGTCTTGACATCTTAAGATCTTAAAATCTTAAATTCCGAAAGTCGCCAAATCTGAAAATCTCACCAAAAATAAAATCTTAAAGCCTTCGAAATCTGATAATGGATGGAAAATGGCTGGGCAATGGCCTGGCTGTTATAACCTTCAAAAACCTTAAATCTTCGAATCTTAGAACCTTAATTCTTAAACCATTGAAACCTTCAATTCCGAAAGTCTTCAAATCTGAGACCCTTAGAATCTCAAAGTTTTTAGAATTTTGAAATCTTAACATCTACTCATCGGACTTACAGGAAAGGGAAGTGACAGAAACCCTCATGTCTTTGAATCTTCAGATATTAAAAATCTTAAAATATGAAATTCCGAAATTCTCAAACTCTTAAAATCTCAGAATCTTAAAAGCTTCAAAAACTTAAATTCTTTAAATCTCGAACTATTGCAATCTGAAAATCTTAAATTCATAAACAAGTAAAATATAATAAAATTCCTTCAATCCGGGCTATATTCTAAATTCCTTAAACTCTTAATCTTGAAATTTTGAAGTCTTGACATCTTAAGATCTTAAAATCTTACATTCCGAAAGTCGCCGCCAAATCTGCAAATCTCACCAAAAATAAAATCTTAAAGCCTTCGAAATCTGATAATGGATGGAAAATGGCTGGGCAATGGCCTGGCTGTTATAACTTTCAAACACCTTAAGTCTTTGAATCTTAAAACCTTAATTCTTAAACCATTGAAGCCTTAAATTCCAAAAGTCTTCAAATCTGAGACCCTTAGAATCTCAAAGTGTTTAGAATTTTTAAATCTTAACATCTACTCATCGGACTTACCGGAAAGGGAAGTGACAGAACGGGCAAGGCAAGGTGCCCGGTGGCCGGCTGTGTCGCGTCAGCGTGTAAATACAACTACAACCGCACAAAGTGGATTGATTCACTTGTTGACTTGCTGAATGGCAAAATGAGCGAGCCTTTCTCAACACAAGAGACCCCTCTAGGTTGGTGTCCTTTTGGTTTCCCTTCAAAACCGCCCAAACGGGGACCACGATTTTGAGAAAAACACCCAAATGGCTATGGGTCAAAAGCCCGTACCCCCAGTGAACATCCCAATCCCCACTACAATAGGTTCTAAAATGGGTGGTGCACCTACCAACCGAAATGGGTTCTCATTGGTTTTGACAACCACAGCCAAATGATGGCCTTCCCCTAACACCCTTTTCGTGCCACCCGTTGACTCTGGTCGACCACACCGCATCCACCTCCATGGCCGCAAAATCTGAGGCGGACCTCCGCGGGCTGACCTCGGGAAAGGGCTGGTACGGTGAGGCGCCAAGTTGTGCTTGGTTGGCTTCAAACTTCACAGTCGCAATTGGCCGAAAGGTGAGGCAGACAGTGGGAAAAGGCACCAATTCGTGTGTGGTTGGCTGAATTTGGGGGACGGAGCAAGCCTGCCCGATCTGCAATGTTGGCTTTGTGATGCCCTCCCCCCTCGACATGCTTGGTGATGTGTAGTTTAATCCTGAAAAGGTGATTTTGGTGGCGGGATTCGAACCCTGGCTCGGAATGAGGGAAAGTGAGGGTGTGAGGGTGCAATCTGCCTCCTCATGAGTGTGTCCTTGGAGGGTGCCCATGCAGGGGTTGGTTTAAAGGGAGATCCAAACACCGCCCGCGTTGCAGTCATGATCCTGCTGACCATTGGACCATCGGACAAGCGGACCAAACGGCCAGCCAATAAGTCCCATTAATTGGGGGGGGGGGGCTGGTCCCAATCCGTTTCTAGATATGCCAACCATCTGAATGGCAAGTTGGAAACTGGGCAATTGACCGCGCTTTGTGCTGATGTGTTTGGACCCATTTGCCATGCGGACGTGACCGCTTGCAGTGCGCGTGAAAGGCTGCCCAAAACAAGTGACCCGAGGCAAGACCCCCCCCCCCGTGTTGAAGAAACCAAGTTGGACACCTCCAAAAAGGCTTCTACCATACTTAGTAGATGGGCTTCAACTTGACTTGCTCAAACAGGGAATCCGTCTAACCGGCAAACCATGGTTTCAACTGGATGCCCAACATCACCAGGACACTCCGCCTTGAGGTGATGACCCGACGCAAACCAACCAGCTTTCTGTTTCAGCCATTGGCGATGCCGAGCCATGCGTGGAGCGCCGAGCCGAGCGCAGCCCCTCACGGAACGCTGGGGTTTTGGGGGTCCCGGCACCAACTCCAACACCAAGACAGACCCATTTGGGGAATCATGACTCCACCACAGATGGCAACCATCATCACCCCCATGGCCAACCACTCATGGCAACCACCGGCCACTCCATGACTCCACCCATGGCCTCTGACGACCGCTCGGCTCGGCCCGTCGCCGATGGCCTCGAGGCCCCGGGCCAATTGGTACAGCACCCCGCAGAGCGCCGCCCGCAGCGCCGCCTCCCGGGGCTCCGGGCCCCGACACCTCGGATGGGACGTGCGGCCGTGAGAGCCGTGCTCCCGGCTCGGATTGGCCGGGCAAACAGAAATGGGGTCCCAAAAAAGAGTCACCCAAAAAAGGGGTGCCAAAAACAGCCTGCCTTTGGAGGGATCCAGAAAAGGGTCACCTGCCTTTGGAGGGGAACACCCGCTGAGAATGTGCATCTACTTCCACGTCACGCACACCGGCCTGGAGAGTGCATCACTTGACCCTGTGGCAGGCCACTCTTGCTTTGTCCCGCAATGGAGAGATCCCCATCCGTACTCCGTATTTGAACGGCCGCTACACCAGGGACAACAACTGGCACAAGGAAGCTGCCCCACTGGCACGAAGCCTGCCCAAAGTCAAGAGCTCGCGGTGCAGAGTCCTTCCTTTTGCCGCAGGATGCTGTCATCTAGCCCGAGCGGATGAAGAGCCCCAGTCAGCAGTCGAGCGGCGCTCGGTCCCTGCTAGCTGGGGGTGTGATCTGTTGAGCTGTAAGATGAATTGCTGGGCAGCAACGACACAACTTAAGTAAAAGATAGATGTGGTCGTGCATTAGCAAGCATCGGCTATGACGGTCATGATGCGATTGTTCAAACAAAGAAACATTTGACGGCGTTCTGCCAATGTCAGCATGGTGCGTGCACATGTCATGATCATTCATGCTGACCGTATTCATGCATCATGCAGACTACATGACATGGCACATCGAGCAGCGCTCGTTCCAGCCATGGCAGTGCCGCATGCTCCATTCAAAACGCGCATTGACTAAAGAGCAACCTGAGAGGACTGCGTTCAACCAACATGGAGGGTTTGAAACTAGCTGAAGTACCAAAGGATGATGAAGGAACAGACCGCATGTTCTACTTTCAAGGATCTTTTGTCGACTCAGTTGCTTTGGCTGCTCTGACTGCTCTGCCCATCTCGCGCTCCCCTAGCTGCCCGCCTGGGCTCCTCAGGGTGGGCTAGGTGACAGAATCGGCAGTCTCGGCCTTCCGCGCAGGAGCCCCGGCGGAACCTTCGGCAGACGTTGGTGCAACGGGCTGGGCCCCTGCAATGCCGGGAACCCTGCGAGGGGAGGCCGTCCAGATCCCTCAGGCGGGGTGGGGCAGAAGAGCTCCTCACGGCTTCGTGGTGCTCCGGGTCCTCCAAGCTGCTCAAGACAGCAACACCACCCCAGTGCAGCTGGCCATCCCCGTTTTGACTGGGAGTGAACACGTACACCTCAGGCGTGTGGCGTGCATCCTGGATCTCAAGGCGGTAGACCTCTTCAACGTTGACTCGGCTAGTCGGACTGGACTCAACTGGTTCTAAACCATTCGAAGTGGTGATGATGTCGCCCACCCGGAGATTTGACGCTTGCTCTTGGATCCAAGACCCTGACCTCCGAACACGGAGCTGATGATTGGCCGTGAAGCGATGCTCTTCTCCACCCACAGAGAACCTCGCCATGAGTCGCAGGGCCTGAGCTCGGCGTTGCACACCCATCAAGCGATTCCCGTTCGGGCCGGCCGCATAAATGGCTCCAAGTCTTTCGACCATCTCCACTGGCACCAGAAAGTAGGTGTTGGACGGCACGGAATCGGTGGGAGGTGGAGACACAGGTCCAGCAAGGGTGACAACAGGTGGAGACTCGATGAAAATCCAGTCCTCGTCTGCCCTGGGCGATGCTGGGTTGATTAGAGCCAGGGTGTCTTCCGTGGCCCTGGCTGGCACTGCGATGGGAATGCGGGTAGGAGGCTCGAAGGACCTTGGGCACTCGTCCACAAGCTGGCGCGCTGCCGGCTCAAGCTCGCGCAGGGAAACCACCAACTCCGAAATGGCTTCGGGGACTCGTTCATACAATGAGCAAAGCTCGTCGACTTGTTCCTTCAAGCTCAACATCTCGGCATTCATCTCTTCAGATTCAGGCAGCAGGGCCTGTGCATCTTCCGCGTCTGCAGCAATCGTTTGAGCAACTGCTACCACCGAGTCCAAGCTCTGGTAAAGGGCCTCATTCAATTCCTTTATGTATACAGTCTTGAGCTTCTTCGCAGCCTCGTCAACAACCTGCGCCATGCGCTGGAACTCGTCCTTGGCCCTTTCATGCTGTTGAATCTCCGCGGCAAACAACTCCGCTAACAGCCTCTTCACGAGATCGCAACCCACGTACCCCAGCAGAGCCAGCGCCAGGAAAAGACCGGCACAGGTGATCAGCGGTGCGAAGCACGTTGACATGAGGCCAGTTGATAGGGAAGCGAAGATACTGTGCAAAGAGGTCGCAGATGTCAATGAGGCTACAGTGCCTGCAGCATTCGTAACGCTGTCTGCCGCACCTGACGAAGCTGCAACGGCCGTAAAGGCAAAGTGCTGTGCTTGCTCTGCTGCCGCTGCTGCCGCGCTTGCATCAGCAGCCAATTGAGCAGCTGTCGCAGAAATTTCTGCCGCGGCTGCAGGCTGCATGCAATGCCACAACACAACTGCGGCCGCAGATGCAGCTGCGCCAACTCCCAGCACAATTCCCACAGGAGCCGCAGGCGTTGGAAGCAGCCCAAGCGACACTGCAACGCCGCCAAGCATCTCTGACCCCATAAACGTCGCGGCAGGAGCTCCCACGCCAGCAACAGTGGTTGCAGCCGCAGCTGTAGCACCAGTTGTTGCAGCCACTGCTGCACCTGCAACTCCCGAACCTGATGCCTGCACAGCGGCAGCAGAGGTAGCGGCAGCTTTCGCAGCTGCTGCAGCCGCCGTGGACTGGGCTGCTGCCTGGGCTGCTACAGTTGCTGCTGCAGCAGCCTCGGCTGATTTTGACGCGGCAAATGTTTTGGCCATCGATAGGGCGCTGTACGCAGCTGCGAGTGCGTGGCTGTTCGTGCTCCGCTGAGCTGCCACGGATGCCACCGGGCCGAACGCCACTGCACCAGCCGCGACTGTGAGCACACAACCAGCACGTGCCACAAGGCACTGGACCTCCATCAAGAGCCACACCCACCAGCCGTGTCTGAGTCTGGTCTCAGCCATCAGGGTATCGGATCTTGCTGCTCCATCTGCACTCTCCCGACACAGATCTTCCAACTTGCGCTGCAATCTGTCCAGCTCGGGCAGCTCTGCACACTTGTCCCGGAAGCGCTTGGCTTTGTTCTTCACGCGGACTGCTCGACTCTTCAAGCTCTGGCGATCTTCGTTCTCCAAAGCAAGCCGCAAAGCTCTCACGTCTTGATCAATGCCGTCAGCCTCCCTCTGCAAAGCATGCGTGTCGGACGGATGGATGTCCCGCATCAAATGGTGAAGCGCGGCCGCATCCTCAGACTGCAGCGTCTGCAGCAGCTCAGACTTTAAGTTTTGGAGAGCCTGAAACTGCCCGGCCACATTTTGGAAGGACCGTGCCGTCTCATCTTGCAGCGCATTGCAAATAGTGTTGCGCACAAAGGGCGTGCTATCTGCCAGAATCGCCCGCAAGTGTTGCCAGTCAGATGTCTGTGCCATATTCGCATCAAGCCGCTGCAGTCGATCCATGTGCTCCCCTGGAAGCGCTAGTGGTAGAAGCGGCTCAGGAGAAACAGCCACTGTGGCAGTCTCAGTCTCCATACCCGGAAGCGGCACTGAGCAAGTATGCTCGGATGAGGACACTTGAGACAAACGGCTGCCCTCAGCGATGAATTCGCAAAATGCCAAACCCAGCTCCGCAAACATCTCAGCGTAATCTCAGACCCAGACCACCAATCACAGCATGGTTCAGCAACAAACTCAGGTCAATTTGTGGTGGTTACTACCTGGAAAAGGAACCAACGGTCAATCAGAGCCAAGAGCAGCCCGCGTGCCGCGACAACGAGGCCAGCTCCCAGACCCTCGGCACCCCCGCCCTTCCAACAGCTCTGCCAACGAGCGAAGGCCGTCCAAGGCGTACCTACCGGGCCAGTGGCATCCGTCCAACCGAAGTCCGCATGACGCACAAATGCGCTGCAGGCTATCATGGAACCCCAGGAAGGGGTCCAAAGGCAGTTTCAAGGAAGTGTCCGCTGCGAAGGCTTTTGGGCTTTATGGGATCCATACGTTACTTTTTAACGGTGTGAAAAACTGTGGTTGCGAGGCTGGCTGATTTTTTGAAGCGATCAAGCTTCAAGCTTATGACATGTGTTGCCTGGGGACCAAACACTTGCTGATAGAAATCATAGACACATGGTCCAAAAGAGCTTCCATTTGTTCGGTTGCAACCCAAGTTGTGTGCAACTCCACCCAACAACGTCTGATTCCCACCCATCCACCCCCAAAGAAAAGAGAAAAAAGAAGCAACAAACATAGGGGAACCAATTCCCAGGTTCAACCAAAAGGGATAGGAATGCCCACCCCGGGGTGTTCCCTGAGCCCACAAAATGGGCCGCTGCCCGATCCGAGCCAAGCCGTTCGCATGGCGCACACAGTCCAGACCCCGTTCTCCAGCAGCTGAGGCCTCACGCCACTTGGTCCAAGGTCGAAGGGGCCATCTACCCTCACAGTGCTTGTTTAAAAATCCCTTGGTCAAACTGGCTTGGTGGTTGGAATCACCTGCTCTTGGTGGTGGTTGAAACAATTTGGTAGGTTTGCAGAAGCTTTATTGCCTCCGGACGGAGGATGGACCACTGCGGGGGAGTGTTTAGAAACCCTGCAGTCCAGTGAACGCCTGATGCCTATTCGCCGAAGTAACCGCGCATGAACCGCAGTGAGTGTGGGCTCTACTCACCGCGTCTCCGATGCACGTAGCTGCGTCACCCGAGTTCCCATCGATCAGTCGACTTGGCTGCTGAGGTTCCGCACTCCGCGTGGCACAGCAAAGCTGCCTGGGTCACTCAGAACGGAGCCCCCAAACCGCACTTCACGTAGCAGTGGGTCCGCGTCACATTCCTCGAAAGGGCATGGTTTACTCAATCCCTGAGTGGACTGGCCCAAAGAAGTCCAAGCTTTTTGCTTGCCACTAGTTGGAATATATTAGAATGGTCTTCCCAACAAGTTTGAAGTCCATGAAGTCAGGGAGGGATGTGGATGCACGCATGCAGCTCTGGACATCTGAGACACACAACAAGCACGTAAAGGCAACCCTGGAGGTGCAAGTCTCACTGAGCTGGATGAAACACTTGAACTTGTAGGTTTGCCGGTCCAGTCCCAGTTTGCCTTGCAGGTCTCAAATCATGGGAGCAGCAAATTTCCAGGCTGACTGAAGCTCCTACCTCTGTTGCGTACTTTCGCATTGAAATCGTGACCAAACTGACGTCCATGTCATTTTGGCTGATCTGCCATGTCCCAAGAACGAACTTCTGGTAGCTCCGAGTCCGGCTCCCTTCCAAGTGATCTCTGCCTCTGGGCGACCCCTGCCCTGAGAGCCGCAACGCCCCCGGACTGCAGGATCCAGGCCTGGCGAAACAAGGCAAGCTGCGGTGTTCCAGCCCAGAAGAAGTGTCCATCCCCAAACCTTTAGCAAAACCTCCAGGACTTCAGGAAGTCGCAGGAAGGCCCAGGAAGTCCAAAGGCGTTCCAGAGAGTTTCAGCCTCCAGGAAACTTGGGTATCACCTGCGGGTTGGGTCAAGCGGAACCTCTTCGAGTGTGCTGTGTCTCCCTTCCCAGGTGCGACAAGAGGAAAACTGAGCGATGCGCCGCAGTGCACAACGCCTTGTTGGCACAAAGGCGCCTCTCAGAAGCAAAAAGCGAAAGCAAAAGCAACGGGCTTGGATGTTCTAAGGGCTTGCACGGCTTGGGCCGGTCAAACCGAGCTACATCCCCAGGCACGAATTAGAGACGCGCGCGCGCCAAATGCGCGGCGTTCTCTTCTCCGCGTTTCAAAGCGCAGAGAGGCGGCTCCGTTACACCACCACACTGAGACCCTGGTGCATTTGGTTCACAAAGTTCTGGAAGCGGCTCCAGTTGTCCCCGTTCAGCAGGTCGCTGCCCAGGCGCAAATAGGTGAAGACCTCCCCAGTTGGCAGGTGGGATGGCGGAAACGATGAAACCCTTCCCTTGAAACGGACACCTAACTGAGTTGATGCTTTATCAGCTGTACAAAGTTTAACAGTTGCTTGTTCAACAACTCATTCCAACAGTTTGTTTTGCTTCAATGGGTGAGTCAGTCTTTTTGGAGGGGTCACTCTTTTTGTGGTGCTTAAGGGAAATTCAAAAGGAAAACCGTTGCGCCATTTTTTGGGTCCCCTATATAAAAAGACACACCCAATCGTTTTCGTATTCAGCTGTTTCTTCGGGCCAAAAGAAACAACAAGCCACCTCGTGCATTCTCGGGCCTATGAAACACACACACACACACTCAATTGTTTTCTTGTTTTCAGGTGTGGCTTCCGCCACAAAACAAAGAAACGCAAACAAACACAAAGCCACCTCCATGCCGGACTTGTAGGACTCAATCTTGCCGTAGGCTGTGTCGTCGTACCGGGGCAAGGCGTTCTCCCCGCCCAGGGCGATGCTATGGGAGGAGGTGCTCGACATCACCTCGACCAGAATGGATGGACGGCAGGCTGGGACCCATCCAAGGAAAACATTTCCCATGTCAATTTCCACCATACCCCATAATCCTCTCCATGACAAATAACCCATTTCCATCCCCCCCACCCCCTCCAGCCCCCTCCACCCCTCCATCCCCCTCCGCCTGCTTCACCAACTCCTCGGGCCCCGAGGCGCAGTCCGCGGACTGCTCCGTGTCCGCCATCTCCATGCAGGTGAAGTCCACCCCCGCGCCGGTGGCTTGGAACACGGAGGCGATGGCGCCATAGGCGTCCTGCCGCCGGGGCTTCGGGGGAAGGAAGGGTGTGGCACGCTTCGCGCAAACAAAGCATGGGGGGCATCTCTTGCAAAATCAAAAATGGACACCATGAGGTGGGACATGGTGGGTGCCACCCGAAGTCTTAAGTGGTTTGTACAAAAGGGTGTTTTCAAATGCGATGGGAGGTGTGGCAAAAAATGTGGATCTCTTTGTGGTCCATTTGGGAGAAAGGGGCATGCGGGCTAAATGTCCCATGTGCTCTTGGGGACGGTGCCTGCTAAGAGATCCGGGCATCGTGGGCTGGCATCGCTATCTCTGTAAAGTGTCATTCACTGTAAAACCGTTTGGTTGTTCATCTGATGTAAGAAAAATGTACATACACCAATGTGTGTTATTTGATGAAACCCAAGGTTGCTGGTTTCAAACAACCTGGAAAGGGTTCGTCTCCAAACGGCACATCGAAGCTTGTGCAAGATTTCCATTGGGTTCCCTTCATCTCTCTGCTAAACGGGGAGTTTAATCCGAGTTCCTTAATGTGAGACTGGTCCGGACTGGGTTCAAAGCGGGTAGGAAAGGTAGGCTAAGCTTGGATTAAATCTGATGAGCATTCACGCCCTTGGACACTCACAGAAACTGCCCCGTTCGCATCCCAATGCCGGAGCACTGCCCGGAACGATATGTGATGCACGTCTTTTTGGCGAATCCCCAGAAAACAACGGAAAAATACACATGGCTGTGGGTCAAAAAAGGGTAACCTGGAAAATTGAACCCTGGAGAATGAGACCTGCGGCCCAACATGGGTTGCTTTTTCAGTGGCTGTTTCAAAAAGCCTCCCCCCCCCCCCCTTCCGGTCTCCCTCGCCAGCGTTTGGTCGCTGCTCAGGCCAGGAAACAAGATGCAACATCATGCCGCGGAAAAGGCTTTACAACAGGAACTTCAAGCCAAAAGGTCCTTACGAAGCACAAAGATCGTCTCTGTGGGGCCAACACGCGCCCCTTCCCACAAAGATTGGGGCGCGGAGAGGCGGCGGAAACTCACACAAAGTTAGCCTAAAGTGGTTGCCCCAGATCAACTTAAGGTGGCCTCGCAAAAAATCGGCAAAGCAACCGACGCAAAGCAACCCAGGTAAGCACGCAAATACACACGAAGTGACACAAACAAACGCGCGCGGCACTTGGTCAGTACCATTGGTCACATTCAGCCGAGCGCTTCGGCGCCACCAGCATCAGCATGAGCCTATCCAGCAGCTCGGCTTCTGGGAGGGAGTGCTCACGCGGGGGAGGGCTGTGCAAGGTCTCGTCAAAACAAATCTTGGTTCTTCCTGGCCCAGATAAAGTAGGCCGGGGCGGGCGCACGCAAATACACACAACACACGCGCAAGTTCGTCTCCCGGCCACAGCTTCACTCGTGCCTGCGCGCACTACACGCACGCGTGCAGGGACTCCAATTTGGCCATTTTCCAGGGCGATGACTTCTGCAGGCGATCTCCACCATGCGCCAACCCAAGGTTTCACAAAGCGCAACGAGCAACTCTTTTCACCTCACCATCGCTGCAGGGCTGCCAAGGTCTGCGCAGCTGGGCACGGGCGAAGCAAGGAGGCGACAAGCGCTCGCCGCTGATGTTTCTGGCCGGGCATTGTGCCACAGCCGCACGGACACCGACCCTTTCGCCTTCAAGACGCGGTGGCTGACTCTGGGAATCAGCTGCAGCCGCTTGGCGGTCCACTTCAGCTTAGGCCACACACAGTCATTGACCCGGCGGAATCGAGAGAGCAGCGCTTTCGTCGTCTTTCCGTGTAATTGAAAAAAGGACAGGTGCTCTGGCAAGGACGCTGTTTCTGCCTATGCCGTGAAGTGGTCATCGGCGGAGCCGTCGCCCGCGACCTTGCCAAAGCGGAGCAGCGTTGTCTCCAGGAGGCGCCACCCGCGAGTACAACTTGAGCAAGCTGCCGGCTCCTTTGCAAAGGCTGGACACCACAGACCCACAGCCGTCGTACAGCCAGAAACCTGTCGTTCGCTTTATGGCTTGTACCAGCACTCCTCTGTGCAAGGGCGGCCCATCTAAATCTGCAAACTTTGTCCCACAGCTGCCCTCGATACCTCTTTAACCCGGCGCCATTGGGCGGCAGCAGCAGCCTTGCGCGCCCGCCTGCGTCGTGCGGATTGCGCCACTTGGCCAACACGCCGTCGAGGGCCACGCGGCTGGACTTCACCGCAACCTTCAGCTCGCGGCGTGCCAGGGGCACAAAGGCCACAGACACCTCAAAGTTGGTCTGCCCCACGTTCAGGCGATCGCGTACCATGGCTTGTGTGTTTCTGTAGCTGCTGCTGCGGCTGCTGTCACAGTTGCTTTCCCCTTCGACTGCGCTTGCCTCCAACAGTCCCACTTGAAGACTCCGTCCACTGTCGCTTTTGCAGAGCTATTTGCTTTGCAGGTTCTTTTCAGTCATTAGGGCTTTCCTGTGTTTGCCGCAGTTGTTGCAAATTCTTGTATGACATACTTGCTAATTATGTGCCTGCAGCTGGGAGCTTTGGCAAGAAACAGCAGCATCAGGAGTTTGAAAGCAATAGCGGAAGAAATACATTGACGCTGCCGTAATCGCTTTGCATCAGCCACAGCAAGGCCAGCCTGCTAACGTGCGCGCAAAAGCCATCGCAAGACAATCTGTGCAAAGTCAGCCATGAGAAAGGCGCAGCTTCCAACCCAAACTCAGGTGTGGTAGGTGGGGGGGGGGGGGGGGCGGTTCATTTTTCAAGCCAAGCAAGAAAAAAGCAAAAACCGCGGTCCAATTCCTGGTTTAAATTTCTGACCCATACCCCCCCCACTCGGCCCCCTCCCAGTTTTCCGGCTCTTCGTCCTGGCCGTCCGCGTTGTAGTAGCCGGAGGTGAGCTCCGCCGCGTGGTGGGGCGCCTTGTACCTGGCGAAACCGGGGGGACGCTTGGCTTCTTTGTTTTTTTGAGGGGGGGAAGCGGGGGTGAAGAGAGATGGAAGGCGCCCAGGGGTTCAAGGAATCCCACCGAAAAGACATCCAGTGTTTCTCGCAGCTCCTGAAATGCGTGGATTCTGGGTTCATGTGTAAGGTTGACTCTGTGGAAGGGATCTTCAGGTTGCCACGGGTTCAAAAATATACCATACACCGGGTTCTCAGAAGGAATGGGAGCCGGGCACTTTATCTCACCGCAGCGCATGTCGATTCAGTTATTGGTGCGACCTAATCGCCCAATATGTGCTGCCGATATCTGCGGATTTGTTTGGAATGAGATTTTGCCTTCGGGAGCAAAAGGCCGGATTTCACGGAGGGGGGCCCTACAACAAATGGTCACCGATTCATTGGCTACCGCTTTGCTTTTCTGAATACCTGGGTTCATCAGATTTCCAGACGCCCATGAGCACCTCTTCAAATCGAGTGTGTCTCCGAATAGGGGCATCCCTCGAAATGGGTGACGTTTTCATCTAAACCTCCCCCCCCTCCCAAAAGAAGACACCAAGCCTCAAAAACGACACAGCCGTACAATATGAACCCACGACCATCTATTCTTGTTCTATCGTCCAATCTTCTGCAATCCCCTTGAAAACAACCAACCGGGAAGAGCAGCAATCCTCAAACCAACACAGACTCAACCCAAGCCAAACCCAACCTGAGCCAAACCCAATCGAACCCAACTGAACCCCACCGAACCCAACTGAACCCAACCAAGCCGCACCCAATCAAACCCAACCGGGACCCAACCGAGCCGCGCCCAAGTCACCCCCCCCCACCCTTCCACAACCCTGAGCCGGCTTGGATGGCTTTGGCCATACACAAACTCAATGCTTTCAGCATGACACACCCCCCAACAGACCCGAGGCCGGGCCGTCAGGCCGAGGCGCCACCAGTGGATGCCGGCCACCTTCCCCGCCAGCCGCACCTTCGAGGACTCGAAGGAGCTCTTGGCCAGCTGCAGCACCGCGGCCCCGTGCTGCAGCAGCTGGCTGGAGTACCACTTCAGGAAGAACCGCCCGAAGTCCGACTTGTAGCCCTCCTGCCAGACTCACTGGCCCAAAGGACTTGGAAAAAGGCGATCACCTTTTGGGATTACTAAAAATGCACCAAGATGGGAAAACCAAAAGGTTGAAAGGTCAGCCTTGGGCAAGTAAGACCTATATGATACCCGAACATGGCACCAAATCGAGGGTCCCTTGAGGAAACTGATCTTCCAGGCACCTCCTGCAAATGCTATGTTAATGGGAGGATGGGAGGAATGATAAGTATCCAGACAAACAGGATACACAGGGACGGACCACGTCCCACATGACGCTGAGAAAAAAACGGCTTGTCAAAAAGAGGACCCTCGGAGTCTGGCGCTTGGCTTTTCGCGAGGAGTGACAATGATGCCCCATACCCTCAGGACAATCATGGGTTTTCACTTGGTAACCCCCGAAAACGGTGAGCTCGCTCGTCCAGATCTCTGAACATCAGCCGAGATGCCCAAGAAAGGTATATCGAACCATCTCCAGCTTCATGTTGATTTTTGCTTATGTTGCTTGACAAGCTTACAAGATTGCGCGTGGTACTTGGGCGCTGCATCTTGAGACTTTCCTTCTTTCCCATCATCAAGCTGCTTCAAGGCATTGCCATTGCGCTGCTCCTGCTGTGGGCAGGCCCACAGCGCAACCGCCCTAAGAGTCTGAATGCCACTGCAAGAAAGCTTTCGCCTGGCGCAGCCGCGAGCAAGCCACCGAGACGGACATGAAAGGCCAGCGCGAGAGTCCCCACTGCAAGTTTGACAGGCAAAGATCATCCAAGCTACTCTGCAGCATCTTCTGGCATTCCCCTTGAATTCGCGAGATGCATTTGGCATCTCCACCATGCCCATTGGCCATCAGCCAATCGCTAATGCGTTTCTTCAGCGAGCTGTTGCTGCTCAAGGAAGGCTTGGGGGCCTTCTTTGGGACGGCGGCCCCCAATATCTGCTCGGCTTTGAGAATTCGGGACCACTCAACAGAGTCCGCAATGAGAGGCCATGTGCGCAGTCCAGACAGCACCTTTGTCAACACTCCTTCGTCATTCACCCGCGTCACGTGATCGATGGCAATTCGAATGATCATCATTGTAGCACTTGGATCACTACATTCTCTCAGAAGGTCCATCATCTGCCAGACGATCTGATCCTTCAACCTCAAGGTCGGATTCACCTTGTACGCCTCAGTGCTTGGCAGTTGAAATCCCGACCAGCAGTGCAGGTTGGGATCTGACGGGCCGAGGAGGAAGTAAATCTTGAGGAGTCGGTTCGTAAATGACTCGCAGCTGCGTAGTGCGTCCTGGATCTCGTCCAGGGTGAGGTTGTCCCTGCAGTCTGGGATCATCTGATGGACGCGCCAGCCGATGGTGACGATGCCGGCGTCTTCTTCACCCCAGAAGAGGCTCAAGCCCTGACTGATCAGCATCTGCTTCTGCTGAACCTCTAAGGCCTCGCTGTGCCCGCGCAGGCGCTCATCCCAGGTACCATCCATGTCGACCAATGAGACCAGTTGAAGGGGCTTCAAAGGCACGCTCCGGCGTCTGTCCAACATGTTGGGCAGCATGTTGTCCATGGCACTTGGCGCAGAGAACATGCGAGAGCCTCTGTTCACAAGTGCTGTTGCGGTGAAAAATGCACATACATCCCACGCAACACACGCATGCTCAAGCGCATTCTCTTGCAAGTGGAGCCTGGAACGGTGCGGCAGCCCAATCTTTCTGGCGAAAGGATGTCTGACAAACAAGTAGCTGTCAAAACGCAGAATTGTCGCCCGGCTGGGGCAATTGCTGCAACGGAAAGGTGTGTCCCAGAGAAACAATCACCTGCCTCACTTACAAAAAACAGCAAATGGGGTTGTCTTTTTTGGGGTACCCAAGCAAACATGTTGAAAAAGGGAAGGTGCTCAATTTGCTTAGAGGTGGGATGGCTCAAGTGCTGTATTGAAAAGAAAGGGTTCATCTTCCAATGTGCGTCTCACCTTTCACCCGAAAATGTCGAGCATCTCCAGAGTCCCACCCCCGCATCAAAAGAAATCCTCGGGTTCGTGAAGTATGGTCTAGGGTTGATGGGCTATCAGCTTCCCTCCGTTTGTGGCTTGGCTTGGTGGTTTGGTTGTGCTTTGGGCGGTTTCCCATTTACCCTCAACAAGAACCAGGTTCAAATCCGAATCAAAATCCACCCAATCCAAACCAACTAAGGCTTGCCTCAGACTAGGTGTCTTGGTAGAACCACACTGAAACCGAATGCTTGGCTCCATATATGTCCAACCGAATCGACACCAGAAACGAAACCACCCGCAAAACAACAGCTATGTTGAGAACCCAGCCCCTCAACATGCAAGCACTTCAAGGGGCCCAACAAAAACTGACCCACTATGTTTGGAGATTTACGTGTTTTGGACATGTGCGCGGGATTGCCACCACCGCACCCAAGCCACCAACAAACCCCATCAACTTTTGGTTCTACCATCATGTTACATATTCACTAGGCAAGCCTTTATGAAACCAAGGTACCGACCCGCCTCACATTAAAAACATTAGAACAAAACAACAAAAATCCTGGCCGTTGTGCGACTCGGTTGGGGGGCGCCCGAAATGAACGGCCCCGAAAAAAGAAAAAAACAGCTCCTGGAAGAAGGCCGCGTCGTTGGGCCGGCTGTTGTAGTCCCCGGCGTCCGAGGGCGGCTTCGTCCACTCGGGGTGCCCCGCCGCCTGCCCGGCGGCCGCCAGACTCCTGGGCTGCGAGTGCGGGTTTTGGTTCGGGAAAGGGTTCGTCCCCTGGTTTTTCTTGGGTAAAAGTATGATTTTGGGGAGAAGATGGGTGAGCCCCCAAAAAAAGCAGCTAGGACAAGTCCAACTTCTGTACATGGGAACAAAACAAGCAAAGTGAGTCCCGGGAACTGGCTTTGTGGGGCAGCCCTGAACCAGGCGCAATGCCATGTGGTGCTTGATACCCTTCCTTTTTGTTGGCTTGAACGGTGACAACATGACCACTCGTCACTTGAAAAGAGGTTTCCAAGATTGGAAGCCCTATTTCCTGGAGTGGAGCTGGAAAAGGTACATAAATGGCATCCTGAAATTCTAAGAACATGAGATTCAAACAAGTTGTCAACCTTAGCGTCAAACCACCCTCCCTCCCTCCCACATGGCACCTGACGGATCCCTAGAAGAAACTCATCTTGGCGCCCTCTCACAGGCGCCTTCTGTGGGAAGTGTGATGAGCAAGCGTCAAGCCAGCAAATAGCAACTCATCAACTCCACCAAAATACAAAGCTACCCGAAACCACCAAACTACAACCCCCCCAAAAAAACTCACCAAAACCACCAAGCTACCCCAAAACCACCGAAAACACCAAGCTAGCACTCGAATGTCGCCCAAAAAGGAGCCACAAACACAGCCGGCCGCACTTCCACACCCCCGGCTCCTCAGCGCGTGGGCGTCGTAGCACTGGAAGGCCCCCACCCCGCAGAACTGCCACTGCGACAGCTGGTAGGCCGGGTATCGCAGCTCCCCGGCCGGGCCCATGCCCACCTGTGGGATCCGGAAGAGCTTGAAGCAGGGAATGGGAGACGCAGGGAAGGACCCAGACATAGAAATACCATCCAGAAGTCGTGGCTTCCGGTCAGGGGATTTGTGGCCCAAAAACAGAATCTATCCATAAGTGGTGTTTTTTTTGTCGTGCAATAGGGCTTGGTTGGGTTCCTTCAATAACATTTCCGACTACTCATCCAAGTGGTGGTTTCCGGTCAGGGGATTTGTTGGGTTCATTCAACCGCATTTCCGACTACTGAGCACCAGCAAAGTTTTCAGGGACCATCAAAAGTTGTAATCGATTTATGGGGAACCTCAAACAAAACAGAACAAGACCTGGCGGAGGGGTAGCTTCCCTTGCAATGGCCACGAACTTGGACCCTTTGCCAACAGACCCTTTGCTGGACATCGGCAATGGGCGGTACCTTTATTTGGGGCCTTTGGGTGAACACGAAAAGCACGGTTGGATGTTTGCCCCGCAAAGGGCTACTCAGAACGGCTGGTTTCCTGTTTGAAACACCAACAACAACTGCGGGCAGCGGGGCAATGCCTTCTGCCAATCTGATCCTTTCTTGGAATGGCAGGAGTACTAGCCCCTGTTACCATCCGTCTGGGGGTTGTACATGTGAGTCAAACATCCGGCAGTCTCTGACAGCATCCTGACTGGGTGACCAAGTCTCTTGTCATCGAAGCTGTAGCACAGTGCCAATCCCTCCAGAAGCTAGAAAACGATTCGGATCTGCATTTTGGTGGATTCCGCCCCGTTCATCCTTCCCCTTGTCTCGCTCTTTTTCCCCAACAGCTGGCGGCAAGGGCAACTCTGCCCAGAAATCGGCTCTGGTTTGGGGCAGGGTTCCGCAGAGTTCCGGGGGCTATTGGGGACACCACTCTCCTCCGACTTCCAGGACTTCCACTTTCGGCCCGTCCGGCGCTGCTCCGCGCCTGGATCTCTGCGACACTGGACATGTCCAGCTGCGCCAGAGCATCGAACCAATCCTTGTACATCTGCAAAGGCGTCCTCGACGTGAACAACCTTCTGTTGAGATTGAAAGTGGGAAACCGACATGGGAAAATCGAAAGGTGAAAACATGTTTAAGCATGGAACGAAACCTGTGATACCGTGTATAAAGTATAGTGATTGATTCCCGTTTTTACAAGTACTTTGTCACTTAGGGCACCCTCTTGGCCACTGACAGAAAGTGGCATCCAGAAACTACATTCTTCCACAACCATGAAGTGAGCAGGGAAACCAAAAGAAAAGCCATTTTTTTGTGGGGTCCCGCGTGCTTTCCCTCAGTTAAGGGTGTCCTGCCCGCGATCGTCACGTTGTCGGCGAAGAGGGAGATGTACTCCTTGTCCTCATGCCCGTGCTGATCCTTGTACCAAATGTCCTGAAAGGGGCCGAACTCCACGTTGAGGGCGCAAGTAGGTGGCGTTCTCTTATGCGGGTCTGTCTTTTGCGAGGGTACCCTTTGTGGGGTTGGTTTAAAGGAAAGGAGAACAGAAAGGAAACCCAGCATTTGAGGATTCCCCGCTTCTGCGACACCCCCATATGTCGGAAAGTAAAGGTAATGAAACCGCGGCCATGGCTTCATCACCTGTTACCGATATGAAGGAATGTCCCCCTTCAAACCCATCCCCCCAAAAAACGGGTACCACCCGGGCAGCCCCCCAAAAACAAAACCCCAAAAACGGACACCCCCGGCAGCCCCCCAAAAAGAAACCGGCTGGCACGTCTCCCCCCGTTTCCGGCATCCTTCTCGCCGGTCACGAAGGAGGGCAGGGGGATGTTGCAGGTGTCCCCCACGTTGCCCCCGCACTGGTGGAAGGAGGTCACCAGCTGGGCCTTCAAACCCACCTCTTTGCAGAGCTCCAGCAGCTGCCTCGGACCCATCCATTTCCGTGGGTTCTTACAACATGAGCACGGGGTGCCCCAGAGGAAAACAAAGAAAACCCTGGGGAACATGAGGGGTTCGTGCTCTGGGTTATGATCTTCAATTGGGCGTCATGGATTTGTTTAACGAAAACAAATTGAAGGGGAAACGCTTTCAGGTGGCAAATCGATTTTCACCCGTGGTCCAGGCCCCATGTTTTTTTTCCGCTTCTTGGGACCCCCTGCAGCCAAGGCGCTTGTAGGCGTCGAAGTTGTAGCTCTTGGGACTGGGCTCCGTGGCGCCCCACCACACGTCCGCCATGACGCCGTCCACGTTGCCGCCCTTCAGCTGCTGCAGCTGGCCCTTCAAGGCCTGGATCCATCAGGGTCGGGTCCAAAGCGGCGCGGTTGGGGGGGGCATTGGAGGATGGGGTGGGGCGGGGGGCGGAGGGTACAGTAGGCCATGGTGATACCCAGTTTGGGTGTGGTTGTCAAAGATTTGGTTGGAAACCCCGAGGCTATGCCTTTTCCCGAAGTTACGGTTCTGTTTTGCCAACTTCCCAGTTACCTACTTTGTTCTATCGACCAGAGGCTACAAACCTTGGAGACCTGATGACGGTCTGGGTACGACCAGGGGTGTGAATAAGTCTGTCCTTCAGCTTTCAAGGGATGGCGTACCCAGTTTGGTTGGGTCAAACATAGTTGGAAACCCCGAAATGGGTTATGCCCTGGTAAATGGAAAGGAGGAAAACCTGCGGTGCCCTTGTGGCTCCATTTGACCATATACCCAGGTTGGGTGTCTTCATGAAATTGGTATACCTCTTCTTAACTAAGGCCTGGAGTCGTTTGTGTTTCTCTTCTGGCAGTGACTTTGCTTTATGAGCTAAATGATTTCGCGATCAAATCAAGTCATGGGCTTCGGGGGTAGCTCAAGACCAAATGAAGTCATGATCACAGGAGCCAAATGTTAGCAATTATGAATCTTTTCGTCGGGTTGCTTGAGCGAAATCAAAAGGTACAAGTTGGGAACCCCACGTCCAACATTGGCTGGCACTTCTGCAGTTTCAGCTCAACATCCCCACGAGGAATTGGGTCCCTGAGAAAGGGAAGCAAAAGGCACGTGGTTTCACGCAGCGTTGGTTCCACCCATGGAGCCAGCGATGCTTTGTCACCCACTCTCAAGTGGGAAGCCAAGAAGTTCCAAGTACCACACACACACACACACATTGGACAGCGGTGTCCAATGTCAAAACAGCGGCACCTTTCCAATTGGCTTTCGGTTTTCTGGCTTGATTCCACAGGAAACCAACCCGAAGACGGGTAGCAACTCCCCAGTCTTAACAGGGTACCGCGCATTGCCCCCGCGCCTGGGGATCCTTCAATTCCCCGGAGCTGGTCACCGTATCCAGGCCGAGCATCACGAAGACCTGCTCGCTGCTCGTCCGATTTGGGGGATGAAACCACCGAGGTTTTTGGGCTGAACTGCGGACACCGCCGGACTCACAAAAAGACAGACCTCCGCTTGTTGGCTCCCCATGGCTTCATGGGCAATTCCTAAGGTGGCGTAGGTGGTCAACGTCAGGGCGATTGCCAATTTCGTGCTTTAAATGATTGGAACATGCCCAACCGCCCAAGCCATTGCTTTCCTCAAACAAACTCTTGTTGATCCCCCTTCCCCGGCCTCCACCGCCTCCACCCAAGCGGCGAGGCTCAGCGCCAGGAGGGATCGCATCGTGTGAAAGCCGAGGAAAACGCGGGACGGAGCAGGGGGATTGCCCGGCCTAAGTGGCTTGGGCCAACGACTCGGAACCGCCTAAGTGGCTTGGCTTGCTCGAGCCAACGCAAAACTTGGAGAGACCTTGTCCTCTCAGCCGACTCATCGTGCCAACTGCTAAGCCGAAAAAAATGAGACACCCATGGCGCCCCCCGAGTCTCATTCGCAGGCCGGCGGCCTTCGCCGTGTCGCTCCGCCGCGCCACCTGCCAAGAATCCAAGCCTTTGTGCAAGGGTGACATGCTAGCAACAGATATCCTCCAGCACTTCCCCATGGACCTCGCGACATTTTGACCCGCCTTGTGAGAAATCCCACACTTAACACGGCCGATCTCCAAGCGAAGCAACAGCGCCATACTCCTTTAAAGGGGCCATTTTATATAATCGGCCCGACGGATGCAAAGCATTCACGGCTCTCTATGAGCCTTGTAGACCATCCATATCACATCCTCCACTGCGCTGGCGTTCGCCTATTCTGCAAAATCATTCGGAGGTTTCGGATCACTAGTAGTCACTAGAACAAGAACCCAGACAAATCACTTGCACTTGCTGAATCGAAAGGCTCTCCTTTCCGCCTCTCTGCCTGCCATGTTTCAATCACATGTTGGCCGAAACGCAGGTTCCATGAGCCGATCTTCACCGGAGCCACAAGAAGGGAACCAAAGGCACACCTCCGCAAGGAACTTGGTGGAACCTAACACAGCCCCAAGAAGGGAACACACCTGGTCAAAGGAACTTCTTGGAACCCCCCAGGTTGCCATCGTTTGGGGTAGAGGTCCGCTCTGCCAGGCTATGCCATCGCCTTGCAGCTTTGCCTCAGCGCCGTGAGCAGGAAATCCACACAGCGCTGGCCGTGCGCCTCCAGCCAAAGCTTTTCGGGAATTTTTCGCCGAGGATTTTGTGTGGATGTGGGGTGATTTTTGGTGGGCTTTGTGTGGGTTTCATGTGGGTTTTGGATGGGTTGTGTTTGGGTTGTCTGTGGGTTGGTCGGCGTCTGGTTCTTTTCTGGCGCCGAGTTTCGGTAGGTGGGATTTGTGTGGGTTTAGCGTGGGTTTGGGTGGGTCTTGTGATGTGAGCTTCGTGTTCGTCTTGTGTGGGCTTACGTATTTCCAGCATCCATATCAAACGTATAACAATCATCGTGCTCAAACATATACCTTTCCTCGACATCAAAACATGCATCTGAAATTACGCATAAATATCTCTCATCATCTACGTTGAACACACGTGAGTCTTCAAAGTCAAACCCACATCAACAGTCGGAGTGAAACCTATATTGCTCATCAACATCTAATTTCCGTATTTCCGTCATCCATACCAAGCGCATGGCAATACTCCCACATATACCTGTCCTTCAATCTCTCTAAGTTGAACTTATCTCCCTCTTGATCTACATTAAACACGGAGAGTCTTGGAACTCTACCCTCTATCGAAGACGTACACCGCGTGATCCTGCCCCGGACCGCGGAGGGCTCAATCACCCAAGCGCAGCAGTGCGCAGTCGTCGGAATTTGCTCCGGAGGCTCTCCCGTCTGCTTGGCGCCAGCAACTCTTCCATCCAGTGGCTTGCCACAAACACAGATCCGCAAGCCCAAAGACACATCCTCCCTGCGCCCCCAATATCCCGGCCTCGCACTGCGCCAATGCCTCATGCGCCACCTGCATGTGAGTGGCCATTGCAAACATGCCATGCTACGAGGTAGATATCCTTCAATTCAACCGGGCGAAACACCGGAGACTTCAAATGGTGGGTGGCCCTTCCTGGCATCTAGCGCTTTGCCTTGACTCATTCTTGTCGCAAGACATTGACCAAGCATTCTGGCTTCCTCAAAGCACAGAAGGGAAACCGGCAACAACCACTCCTGATTTGGATAAAAGCCAAACACGAACCTAGCACACACTGCCAGCTAGCTCTTGCTACCATGGATAAGGCTTGCAACAAATCTACCCCAGAATCTTTGGATACCTCTTCGCTTCCTCGGAGGACGAGAGCCCTCCTGCAGAGAAGCAGATCGCAGCTCGTCATGCTGGACCTGGCGAGGGGCAACATGTGGCCGACACAATTGTCGCTGGACTTGTCCTCCTTCAACCACTCACCTCCAACCCTAACCACCCCAACCACCAACCAACCACCCTGAACCACTCACCTCCAACCGCCCTCAACCAACCCCAACCAACCCAACCAGCCCAACCAGCCCAACCACCAACCAGCCCCATCAACCACAAACCAACCCTTCCACCGCGCCTGCCCCGCGATGTTGGCAAACTGCGCCACAGCCCGCAGCGCCGACTGTGCACGGTCCTGGGCCCAGGACTCCAGGCCCGCACGTCGAGTTCACTGGCCACAGTCTTAGCGACAGCTTCGTGGCCCAGAACGCGCGCTGCTGACATCTCTTCAAGGGCTGGGAAATTTCCAAATGTCCAACAAGGGGTGGACATTTCTTCCCATGGCATGTCCAAAAGCAATGGTCCTCGCAGGAGACGATGCACATCTGCACCAGCTCAGGACTCCACGGACCGCCCCACTAAGGAAACTTGTGGAAGGATAAGCTGAGAATGGCGACTTCAGCCGGCTAGGAGTGCTGTCTGTTCGTGGAAAGCAAACCTCACCAGGAAACAAACACGCGGAGGACGCATAAAAACTTCATGGCAGTTCTTCAGTTCTGCAAAACCGGCCATCCAAATAAGTGACCAGGCGAACAAAGCCCACAGCCTAGGGCTCCCTTGTTGCCTCTTGCTTGCAAAGCAAGACGCTTTGCCCATGTTGCTTAGTCTGAAGCCAAAACGGTCACCGTGAGCACAGTGCAATCTCAGCCGGCATTTCTCATCCAGCGTCCGCGTTTCCATCTCTGCTGGTTTTTGACTCCAACAGATTCCATCTGGCAAAGCCAAACTTTGCGAGTTGGTTTGACTTGTGTGTGTGTGTACGTGTTCAATAACATATTATCAACAGGCTGAGTGATTGATTTGTTGGTTGATTGATCGATTGACTGTGATTGGCTGACTGACTGACTGACTGGACTGGACTGGACTGGACTGGACTGGACTGGACTGGACTGGACTGGACTGGACTGGACTGGACTGGACTGGACTGGACTGGACTGGACTGGACTGGACTGGACTGGACTGGACTGGACTGGACTGGACTGGACTGGACTGGACTGGACTGGACTGGACTGGACTGGACTGGACTGGACTGGACTGGACTGGACTGGACTGGACTGGACTGGACTGGACTGGACTGGACTGGACTGGACTGGACTGGACTGGACTGGACTGGACTGGACTGGACTGGACTGGACTGGACTGACTACTGACTGACTGACTACTGACTGACTGACTGACTGACTGACTGACTGACTGACTGACTGACTGACTGACTGACTGACTGACTGACTGACTGACTGACTGACTGACTGACTGACACTCACTCACTCACTCACTCACTCACTCACTCACTCACTCACTCACTCACTCACTCACTGACTGACTGACTGACTGACTGACTGACTGACTGACTGACCTGACTGACTGGCTGCACTGACTGGACTGACTGGACTGACTGGACTGACTGGACTGACTGGACTGACTGGACTGACTGGACTGACTGGACTGACTGGACTGACTGGACTGACTGGACTGACTGGACTGGCTGGACTGGCTGGCTGGCTGGCTGGCTGGCTGGCTGGCTGGCTGGCTGACTGACTGACTGACTGACTGACTGACTGACTGACTGACTGACTGACTGACTGACTGACTGATCGACTATAGACTGATCGACAGATAGCACCTATAGGATTGGATTGTATGAGGTTTCTTCGAGTAGGACAGGTCGAGTAGATAGACAAATAAATAGATATAGATATCAGATAACTCGCCAGCTAAATAGATAGTGGACGTACGAGCAACTCAGGCCTCTTGCTTGCTGGCAAACTTTCAAGGTAAATTTACTGCACGGCCCGCGCTGAAGCCCATCATGCAAATGGCTTGACGCAGCTTCAGACATTTCCACAAACACCCGCACACAAGCTTGCATTTTCTTGGCCTCACCAGGTCTCGACGCGGTGAGAAATGCAGATCCATCGGCCCGCAACTGGATGGACTCGCGCCGTCGAAACATCGGAGACGAAAGCTCCCTGTCCAACTGCGCAAGCGCTGGACGCGCCGCGGGTAGATCGAGACTCACGATGGAGAGATCCTACCTGGCGAAAGGGAGCGAGAGAGAGGGCAGGGTAGGAAGCACAAACCCGCACAAACCCATCCCCTCAAACCCCCAACCCCAGGCAACTCGAAGAAACAAAAGAAGCAGGGTAAAGAAATGCAACACTCCCAAGTGCCCCAAATTTTGTTTCAGCACGTTCCGAAACACCAGCCACTTGCGCCCATTCAGCCTACGTTCTGGTCTCGAGGGCGGCGTCGAAGCCTCGACAGATAACGGTGTCAATCCGCGTTAGGACATCTCCAAATCAAAAACAAACGAAAAACAAATTTCTTTGGCTTCGCTCTTCGCGACCCAAAGAAAGGCCGCGAAGAGACGCACCCTAGCAACGATTCCCGCCAAGAATCGGCTCCTTGCGCGCTGAGAAGTGCATGCTGTCCCCTGGCACGGGTGCAGGCTGATGCAGGCTGGAGAGTTTTGACCCGAAAAGCGGGTTGCATAGTTGCCACCCTCCCGCAAGACCTGCAAATAGGAGTCCTGGAAGACGATGCTTTTGTTTAAAAAAAGGGGAGCCTCTGGCTTGATCCCCTGTGCCAACCAGCCCAAGTTGCGGGCCAGGCAGAACTTTTGGACTCCGCTCTTGCATCGAGGTGCGGCGCCATTTGAAAGGGAAAACTGAGACGCCCAAGCACGGGAGAGAAGCAAGGACGCTGTATGAGGATATTTCTTTTGGGGTACCCTGGGTTAAAGGAACACCACGGGAGAACCAAATTTTGGGGATCCCTCTTGTGGATGGACAAAATCCTGCACTGCTTTGAAACCATGGGAAGCTATTGTTTGTTGGTATTTACAGGGGAATCATCATTCCAGGGTTTCTTAGGTGGTGCAGGATTTCGTCCCTCCACAGTACGACACATACCCAGATGTGGTTTTCATAGAACCATCCGCGGAGTGGACTTCTTTGCCCTTGCAGGACTTCTGCCATGCAAGGTAGCAAAGGACTCCGGTTAAAATCAACCCGCATGGGTTCCTCATCGCGCCCGGCTGCACAAGAGCTACAATCAAAACCCGGTGCTAAAGTGGCCTACCCAAAGCCAGGTGAAGAATTGCACCTATTTCTGGTTGGGATGTTCCCTTGCTACATCTGATTTGGATTTCCTGTTTTTCCCTTCATCTACCCACATTTTGATTGTGGCTCACTTCTCTCCTTTCACTTCGGCATAGCTCTCTCAGGGAGCAAACAGGTCAACAGCTCACAAAGAAGGTGACGAAGTCAACGATGGCGTCCACGGTGTCGCTCAGAGCAGTCTCTCCGTCCTGATCAGGAACAAACCCATGTTCAACGTGCTCAAACCTCTGTTTTGCTCAAGCCAAACTGCCGTTGATCACCTTGAGGGACTGAATCCGGTATGGCGAAATAAGCGAAAGGTGCCCCCAAATACCAGCTGAGTTCGAGGCCCAAGCAGATGGATCTTGTTTCGATGGATCTTCTTATTTTCAGGGAACACCCGAAAAAAAAGTGGGTTTCCTTTTGGCTTCCATGTAAAACCACCAAACAGGGGGACCCCAAATCATGGCGTATCTGAGCTTTGAATGACGCTGGTGGACTTCCCTTTGGCTTCCCTTTAAACCAACCCCAAGAAGGGACCAAGCCTCAAAAAGCAACAGACCCAAATCTGCCAATGGGTTTAAAGGAAAACCAAAAGGAACACCGAAGGCGGCGTGTTCGGAGGTCTTAATCTTAAAAAAGACGGGCCCGGCTGAGACATGACAAGAACCTGGTATTAAAATGGCCCACCCAGAACCATGTGAAGAATTAAGAAGGCGGATATCCGCAGCCATTTATGGCTGGCAAGGGGAAAAATAGTAAAAGGAGAATTCAAAGAATTATTCTTTCTACTATTTTTTCTCCAACAGCAACACAACAAACAGAAAACAAAATCCAGAACAACAAGCAAACAAAATAAATAATCACAACCAGCAACAAAAATATTTAATCACAGCATGCAACATTAAATAATTCAAACAAGCATACCAACAAAACAGCAACACTCTAAATCATCAAAGAACCCAAACTCAAAAACACACATCAACAAAAATCAAAGCAACATACCAACAAAAAATATCATAAGAGTATCAAACAAAACAAAAACAAACAGCCAAAGCACGAAAAAATTGAAGAAGCATGCCAAGTCTAAACAACGCACTTTGAAAGAGATAAGCAAATTATAATAATTCAATCTTTACAAACGATAAATATATTACAATTATAACATATAATATTTTACATGTGATAATCATAGTATGACTAAATCGTTCCAGAAAAAATGAAATTGGGACTGGAGTCCCCGAAAATTGGGACTAGAGTCCCCGAATCCCACGCATTTTGGGTCAGAGTCCCACGCATTTTGGGTCAGAGTCCCACGCATTTTGGGTCAGAGTCCCACGCATTTTGGGTCAGAGTCCCACGCATTTTGGGTCAGAGTCCCACGCATTTTGGGACTGGAGTCCCCGAATTTATGACATTCCAACCAAACCTAAATCCTTAATCCGTCAAGCTCACCAAGATTTCACAAATTAATTCGCTAGGTATTTTATATAGGTCTTCCTGCTTATGTATTGTTGGATTGTCTCCCCAATTTTCCTTGGTGCCCGATGGTAGCCGTTGCGCAGTTTCAATATGTTTATTATTCCTGATGTTGCCACAATCCTTTTTACATAATTCTCTAGGTTTCCAAGTTGTAATGTTATTCCATAGCCTAGTCCTCTTTCTATAATTAAATCCATATTTACAATAATCAACATCTTTAAAATCAAACTCATCCATAAACTCCTGATGTTTCAATAATCCAGTTTGTGGATTTTCGATTACAAAATATTTAGGATTGAAATATTTGATAATCTCAATAGTTTTTAAGACAATACTATTTGCATATTCGATATTCCTAATTCCCCTAGTTTTTGCTATGCTGTATTCAGTGCATGGGGGACTACTCCAAATAAAATCAAAATGGTTCCTATCAAATTGTTTATAATCCCACTCTAAAATATCAGTGTTGATATCAGCATTTTTCAAGTCTAATGATATCACATTAAATCCAAGCGACTTTGCTATGGTTCCAACGCTTTTTGTTCCACTAAATAATTCTAATAAATTCATTTATTAGAATTATTTAGATATTAATTATTCAAATAATACATATACTCCATCATCATTTTTTGAAATTTTGTAAAATTCTAAAGTGGTGCTTTTAGGTTGTTTGATTTTTCCTGTATTCAACATATCACAGTATTTCTTTTGCTTTGTCGGGTAGTCGCCCGATGGTCTTCCTATAGATTTTGCTTGAAATATCTTTTCGATTTTTTCTTTATCTTCATTGCGTTCAACTGGTTTCATTTTGTCATCAATGGATTTAATCATATCATTTAAGGTTTTAATATTTTTACCAATTAATGTTATCTTCTTCATTAAATCATTAATAGTATAATTCTCATTTTCAGACATTACTATATATTTATTTAGATAATTATTTATTTAATTATACGTTTTATTATATAATTTACCTGAATAATTTAATGTTATATATGTAAATAAATTATATTCTAAGAGTCTTTCATCAATTTTATTTTTCAATTTTATTAAACCTTCATCGTTACCTGTAATTTCAAAAAACTTCAACATTTTATCAAATTTATCTGGTTTAGTTATACCTTTCATAAAATATTTATTATTAAATTTAGCATCTAACCAATAAAAATATTCTATACTCAATTGTCTAGCAAAGTTTTTATCACCATCGAATAGGTCTTTAATTTCTTCATTGTCAAAAGTTATAATTCTATGGTCTTGTCCATTCACAGTTGGCATTATGATTATATAAATAATTAGATATTTATTTAAATATTTATTTATTTATTTATATTTATAAAGTGCAATTATGTTAAATCTACTCTTTAAATACTAACTTATGTCTCTGTTAAAACTAACATTAATCAAATGTTCGTTAGTTTCAATAACCATATCGCCATCTGTTCTTTTCTGAATATTAAAATCTTTATCTGTTTTTTTATAAGAAAACATACATGGGACACAACTAACTTTAACTCCACCTTTCTTATCTACTGTCAATTCATTTTTAAAATTCATTATGTGATTACATTTATCACATTTTATAGCCTTACTTTCGCCTAGTGATTTAACACTTTCTGCTGTTTCTTTCCGTGCTTCAATATCTGGTATTGGTCTTTCTTTGTCTTTACTTTTTTTCTTTTTTCCCATTTATATTAGCATTTATATTTTTAATATATTGTATCAAAAACTTAATTAATTCTAAAATAAAATAACATATTTTTTTACATCTATTATCAGTTATTAGTACTTGTTCTATATTCTCCATTTCATCTATTATATTAATATAATCTGAATAACTCCTTTTCATATTAAATAATAAGATAAATTATTTTTTAATTTCTGTCTTTCTTTTCTTGTAAAGTTTTTTCATTGTATCGTCCTTATTCCATCTATATCCCACAAATTTCTGATGATGTATTGAATTTAGATGTTTAAATAAATATTTGTCATCATAAGTTTTACCACAATTGCAATGGATAATAGTCATATAAATAATAAGATAAAATAATTATTTAGATTATTTAATCTTATTATTTTCATGCATAATAGAATATTGGTGGGGCACAGCACTTGGGGTTTTCATTGCACGCGAGAGAGATACAAACTAATTAGCTTCAATGCTTATTGATTGAATCAATGGACGCATCGGCGATGCCTCGCGAAGCTTCGCGACAACCTGTTCCATTTTATGATATTCGCCACCAGCATATCATAAAACGATGTCCCATTAATATTAAATAGAATATTTATTTAAATTATTTTCTTTAGCTTTAGTAAGTTTTAGTGCAGTTAGCATATCAACATCTAGAATATTATTATTAATAACTTCTTGTACACTACTTACCATTTCATCTGTATATGTATTAGAATAATCTTTCATAAAATTTACTAACTTTCTAAAATTAAAATCTAGGTTATTGTCATTTTCAATTGCGGACTTGGATACTACGATATTATAATTTTTAATTCCAGATAAAAAGTATAACATCGTATCATAATATATTTGTACAGTATCTGGAACTAAGACATCACCAAATTTATATATCCTCCGAATACTAGCCACTTCACTTAAATCAATAGATTCTATTGTCATTATGATATAAGTATATTATATTTTATTATTTTATAAGTATTTATAATATTATTTATGATTGATATCAAACCGTACAAAACTAAAGAATACAATAGTAAACAATCACGACATGATCATGTAGGTAAACTACCTGCGAGACAAATATTCGCGGCACCGTCGGGAGTTGGTAAAACAGTTACACTGACTAATTTAATATTAAATGTGTATCGTGATTGTTTTGAAAAAATATTTATTTTTAGTCCGACAATACATTTAGATAATAACTGGGACACAGTAAAAGATTATATATCAAACAAATTAAAAATAAATCATACTGAAGACGATCCCGTATATTTTGATACATTTAATGAAGAACAAATGAAAAATATTATTGATACTCAAGAAAAAATAGTAAAATATATGAAAGATAAAGATTTTTCAAAAATTTATAATATTGCTATAATAGTAGATGATTTTAGCGATAATAAAGATGTTGCTAGAAAAAATAAAGAACTTGTAAGATTGTTTGTCAAAGGTAGACATTATTTTATTTCTACTTTTATAACGTGTCAATCTTATACATTATTGAATCCGGTAGTTAGAAAAAACGCAACACAATTATATGTATATAGATTAAGGAATCAGAAAGATCTAGATTCTATAATAGACGAACTTAGCGCTTTATATGATAAACAAACATTATTACAATTGTATCACACAGCCACCGATGAAAAACATAGTTTTATGTTTATTAATATGATGGAATCTGATAAAGAAAAAATGTTTTATAAAAATTTAAATCAACGAATGATACCTAATTAATATATATTAAATAATTAAATAATTAAATAATTAAATATATATTAATATTATATGCTATTTTATGATTTACCAATAGAGATTAAAAATATAGTATTATCTTATAGTTTAGGTGATGTTAAATTATTAAAAATAAAAAATAGTAATATTATTAAAATTATATTAATAAATATAAACCAGTTTATAAGTCTTACACATTAAATAACATACATTATTTTGAAATTGATAATATCAATATTAATAATGGATTTTCATATATTTTTAATTTAAATGAGTTAGATAAATTACATCATA